CACTAAACAAATGCGTATCTCTTACCAAACCACTATATCMTGCCACAGAAAGTTTAACTTGCAGAAACTCTGATCTTACACCCAACACATACAAAATTTGCTAATTAAATTAACCGACGGGCTGCTGACCCTCAGATACTCATGAATATGTATAATATAAGTATATATATATATATACTATATATGCTGCAAATGTGTGGTTATATGAAAATTCGTACATCAAACTTAGCATTTTACCTYCCGATTTGCATTAACAGTAAATTAAAGTAAACAAAGTGAGAGCGCATTTCCAAATATTTACCTTACGTGTRTGCTACCCTTTGCCGGGTTCACACGTGCTTTTACTAAGTTCCTGCAAATCGCCTGCACGCCAAGTCTAACTGCACGAAACTTTTTATTTCCCTTAAGTAACCGGAGTTTCCTCATTTGCTTTTGCAACTTCGTGCTTCTGCACACACGTACTCTAGATAGATAGTGCCACCGAAATGCACCGTTATGCTGCGCAAATTTGTGTCAGCGCATGTTGGCGTTACTGTGCGATTGTATTAATGCACTTGGGTTATTTAGCAACCACTTTGACAGCTACAAATACAACATAGCTAAACATGTGCTCGTTTACAACAGTCTCAAGTAGATGCTCAGGCATTTTTTGGTTGCGTATATATGTAGTATTGTTGTTACTTTGGCTGTTGTTGCAGTTATGACATTCTTGCCAAATGTATGCTGAGTCGTTGGCAGTATTATATTGTAATTAAATATTAAACTTGCGGCAAGAGCGAAAATGTATATTTAGTGAGAWAAAACAATAACAAAGCTGAATTTTATTTTAAAATGAAATTTTCGTAGCTCAGTTGAAAAGTTTATATACGAAAAAACCTACTCAAATAAATACTGAAACTATTCCTATAAGTTATTGCATTTTTTACATTTTCTATGCCAACTTGCTATCTTCAAATATTTTACTTCTTCGGCTGAGCTATTTTCAAAATAATTTAATCAAGGTAACGAGTTTAGATTACGACTTAAAAAAAATATTTGTATATACCTCTGCATACCGCACTTATTATAAATTTCAAAATCTACAACCCTTTGAGGCTGCATGACGTATGAGTAACTTTTTACATCTTCAATACACAACTTAAACTCTTTGAAGCTACGTGGCGTATGAGTACCTTTTTATGACTTAGAACGCAAATATTTTCGTTATAATTAACACCATTTCATTATTTATTCCTCACTGAACACCAACTCCACAATAATTGCGCTTTTTCAAAACAATATAATTACTGTTTCCAGCCAAAAATGGTTTTGCTTCGACTTTTCTTAAAAAATATTACACAACCTTGATGACAATTCGACCAGAATAAAGTACACCCTTAGGCGCATTAACCCAGTTTAGCAGATTTCGCTGGAATCASTGCAAAAAGCAGAAAGGCGCACAATTAGCGCGAAATGTACACAGAGCCATTATATAATTACAGCTTTTTAAAGCGGCAAATATAAAAAAGAGTTGTGCACACAATTTACTGAACAAACACATTGCCAAGACAAAAAGTCGGAATTCTTTGCATGGAAAATTGCTGGTTGAAAGCAAAAAATGGTTTTGGTTGTGTGTACATGCGCATTAAAAGTCAATTTCTAAGAAACACTCTCAGCACAATATCTATTTAATGAATTGCAGTCGCGCCTTTTGGGTGTTGCGGCGCCGTTAAATAATGAATGAGTGCCAATTACGAAATAAATGCCACGATAAAAAATTGTATGTGTGTCAAGCGTTTACTTTAGATGTGGGAAAGACATATTTTTATAGATGCTTCTACTGATTCTTAATTGATAAAATTCAGAAAAACATAACTGGATGAGGAAATTATTAGAAAGAAAGARATCAGTGTTGAATGGATTTAAGAAAATGTAGGTTAGAAGTACAAACGTTAGTTTTGGATGTACAGAGGCTATAATATCCTTCATGGGTGCTTTTCTTGTATTATTAAAGGTTGTAACAAAATGGAATCTTTATCTTGAGCGGTCAGTTTGTATGCAACTATGTGCTACAGTAGCTTAATTTGAATACATTATACCTGCGGTAATAAACTGTACCAAATTTCATGAAGTTATACTGCCATATAAACAAGTTTTTCATACATGCACTCTACTTTCATTAAGTGGTTTGTATGGCAGCTATATGCTATAGTTTCCCGATTTAAAAAACTTCTTCAGAGATTGTAGCGATGCCTTGGATAATAATATAAGCCAAGTTTTGTGAAAATATCTCCTCAAATAGAAAAGTTTTCCATGCATCGACTTGACCGATCCCTTTGTATGACAGCTGTATACTATAGTTGTCCGATCTGAACAATATGTTTGGTGATTATAGTTTTGCTTTAAATAATTGTCCGTGCCAAATTGCGTGCAGATATACTTGAAAATAAACATTTTTTCCTTACAAGAACCTGATTTTGATCGGACATTTTGTATAACAGCTATATGCAGTAGTGGCTCGATATCGCCCGTGCCGACAACAGTTCAATTTCTTGCGGAGAAACAGACCTGTGTAAAATTTCAGATTGATAACTCAATAACTGAGGAACTATGTTGCATATATACACATATTCCTGACAAAATAGCAAATTTCTGTACAGAATTGTGAATGCTATCTATGATAACCTAAAAAAGTCAAAGTCAAAATTTAGACACATTTTTATTTAAGTACAGGTATTCTACAATATAACGTATACTTTTAAAWCATACTTTATAAACACATTTCATCTCAGTCGCACTGTTCCTCACACCACTAAGAGATTAATACGACTTCAAAGCATACACTTTCAATTGCATTAAACATTTTATTTATTTGCTAATGCCAACAAAGGATTTTTATTGCTATGTATATGACACGCACGCACGTTCGGCACAGCCAAGAGGCAAACGTGTGCCTTTGAAACATCATGTAGTCTGCAGTATGCGCATAAAAGCCGTTTATATAGGGAAAATATTGTTCATATTCAAAGCGAAATATTTTTACACTGTCTGATTTATATGCTCGTTCCGCATAGTGGTTCATACGTACCAGGTTTATGTATTGCCAGCTAACTTTTGAAGTTAGCTCCAACCATATGTTTTGCTTAGTGCGCCATGCCGTATGAGTAACTTCAATGCCAGCACGAGTATACGCTTTTTTGTACTAGAAAAAATATTAACGAAGAGGTATGCTGTGTGAAAAAATACSTGGCATTTGTTTAAAAAGTGGTATTACGCTGCTGATCAAAGCACGTGTGCAGTCTTCACGACAGCATATGTGCATATCTGTTTATACCGGTTTTAGTCTTTCAGTTTTTGAGATATTGCTCTGAAATTTTGCACTCATAATTTCCACCCCAAAAACATACAAATTTATGGGAATGGTCGATATCAGACCACCATAGAATATGGGTGCCTTAAAAAGTGACCGATCGGCGTCAAGAGCTTCTGTGGAAAAACTTGTGTATTTGACGAGATATCTTCACTAAATTTGGCACGAGTTATAGTCTAAGGTATCGATGCAATCTCCGCAGAAATTGTTCAGATCGGACCACAATAGCTTACAGCTGCCGTACAAACCGACCGTTTCAAATTGAGTTATTTTATTGTATGCTCTTTCATGTGACAAGATATCTGCAAGAAATTCAGTATATATTATTATTTATTGTTTTTTTTTTTTTGTCAGTTTTAATGTTTGCCCTTGGACATACTCAAATTAATATTCATAATTGTAAATTCACTAAGAACAATAAGCAGTCAATTTACCATTTTCCACATTTTTATTACATAACCGAGTACTTCCTTCCTACAACTACAAATGAAATACTCTCTTCATCATTAATCTCSATTAGCTTTAATTGCGTAATGCCGTTTAATGCGTGCTGCAAAGCCATTGCCAGCGATTTGTTTCGCATTTCCTTTACGCAACGAATTGTGTAATAGACCTTGAATATTTGGCAGGCTAGCTGAGTGAGTCAATGGCCTACTCAYTTTGTCTAACTAGCCGCTGCAACTRTTGTTTGTGCTACTTTCAACACTTTATTTTACTTTCTGTGTATTCTGTGCTGTTTTTACTTGCATATGTGTGTTACTCTTTCCCCTTGCGGTATATTTCTATTTGTCTACGGCTTCACACCCTCTTCGATATGTATAACAAAGACGATGATCCATTCTGCCGGTTTATCACAACCATTTATCAAATTATGTTCAAAGCGAAAGGAGTTTCACACTTTGCACTTAAGTAACTCATGATTTAATGTGATTCGAGACTGTGTGCTTTTAAGTGTAAATTTAATCAAACGCGATTTTTGCAGGACGTAAGAGTCGAGTTCTATTTTACKTGGAAATTTGTTTCAATATTTTTGTGAAAGGAGATCTCATTGAGTCGTTATATTGGCTGAAAGTTTAGTTTCAAAATATTATAAAAAATATGTATTACAAAATATAACAAATATAAAAGATTTAAGTTCTTTTCCCGGAATACCATTATGTGATACAAAAAACAAAAGATTAGATAGAACAGATTAAAAATATATTAGCCAAAAAGTATTCAATACTGTTTTTATTGTAAAAATGTTGCCTACCTTTGCGGGTATTTAGATTTTTTTTTTAATCAGTGAGTAGTAGTTAGTATATAAATAAGGGCCTTAATTTCGATTACAAAAATGAATTTGATAAAAAAAAATAATAATAGATTGCAGAGCGATATTTTTTTAAATATGCTTATAGTTCAATTCATTTTTCAACCAAGCATAGGTCAAAGAATTGTAAGGCCAAATAGTTTCTTGTAGCATCCGTTCTTTGTTGGACGGTTAGTAAAGTAGAGATATTATATTTTAAGATCTAAATTACGACTGACTGCAAAAAAAAAAAAACAAAATTCATTAAATATGAAAAACAAAAAATACAAAATTAGAATGCTCTAAAAAACTGTCTCTTAAACAACCTTGAGTAATATACAAAATTTATTTAATCTTTTCCAGATCTTCGACATAATGTGGAGCGACCCACAAATTACCGATGGCTGTAAGCCGAATGCGCTACGTGGCGCTGGCACCTATTTCGGTCCCGATGTAACCAAACAATTCCTGGAAAAATATAAATTGAAGTTCCTTGTGCGTTCACACGAATGTAAACCGGACGGACATGAGTTCACACATAATAAACAGGTAAAAAACAGCTCGCTTAAATGAGGTAAAAGAAAAGAAAGACGAATATATTTCARGGATATATATTAGAAGGCTAAGCTACTCAAATTTTTTTTTCTTCAAAGATGTACATTTTTTATTATTTAGTGCATTTGGGGCACATTTTTTCAGAACTTGAGACATTTTGCCGTTCGGTTTCATTTGAGAGTCAATACTRTGGACCTTCAAATGACACCTGAATAGCAGATAACATGGGTATAGGTACATTCTAATGAGCTTTAATTTAATTTTGTGATGAGTTTTAACTTTCAAAAATTATTTTTTGATGGGATAATGATTATTTTTCAGTAAATTAGAGGTTGGTATAAAAGTTAAGACAAAACAAATAATATAAATTTATTTTCTTAAGCTCTCAGTTCTCTACATATATTTTTCATATGAAAATACTGCACAAGCAAGCGATTTCTCTGCCTTAATTGTATGTGGTGCATGACTTTGATAAACTATTTTTAAAAGTKCCAAAATGTAGGCCACGTAATCTGCTAAATCTTATTTTAACCAAGACTTCAAATAAYAGTATTATATTTTATTTATTATAAAAACAGTATGACTTTTATAAATAATATTAGCTTTTAAAGGAGAAAAAAAATATTTTCAAGAGTTAAAAATGTATTTTCTATTTCTCGCACCCAGGTTATCACAATATTCTCGGCATCCAATTACTATGCCGTTGGTTCAAACAAGGGTGCCTACCTGAAGTTCGGTCCCCAGTTGGATACACAATTTGTGCAATATATCTCAGCGGCATCGAAGACTGCCAGACTATCATTCCAACAACGCATAAGCATTGTCGAGAGCTCAGCGCTGCGTGAATTGGGTGCGCGTTTACGCGACCGACGTGTACAGCTCGAAGAGGAGTTTTCGAAATTGGACCCAAAGAATACTGGTAAACAGMAAGTGCTGCAGTAAAACTATTTCAATTACTAAATAGTTATATTTTAGGYGGCGTGACAGTCGCACAATGGTCAGACACAATGGAGCGTGTGACGCAAATGTCTTTGCCATGGCGTTTGATGCGCGACAGATTGGCACCGCCTTTTTCGCCGGACGAACCAAATATCGTTAACTATCTGCTGACGTTGGAGCTGCTTGAAACGGATGTTATAGTAAGACAATTATTTCAAAATTTTTGCTAATTGTCTGTAATATATTTTTATGCTAATAATTTATAAACTCAATTTCATTTTCAGGTTGAGGAAGCGGAGGCTTCTACAAGCGTCACCGATGCTCTGTACAAAAATAAGAGCAGCCTGGAAGCAATATTTCACATACTGGACAAAGACCATTCGGGTGTGTATGAAAAAAGTGCTAAGAAATGTCCTAAACAAAATTAAATTTAAATTGCGATATGATTTGTTTCATGCTTTCTTCAATATCCGCAGGTCAAATATCGTTGGATGAGTTTGGTGACGCGGTGGATTTGCTACGTAAATACATGCCATCGGCTGGTTCGAAGAAAGAACTAATGAATATGTGCCAAATGATGGACATAAATAAAGACGGTTTTGTGGATCTCAACGAATTTCTAGAGGCATTCCGTCTCTGCGATCAAGCGCGCAAAGCGCCACAACCCACAAAACCCAAGATGGCACGACGCAAGTCATGTAAGTGTATTTGTTATTTATTTATGGTTTTCTTAGYTTTTGTAAATAGAATTTCGTAGTGAATATTCAAGAGGTCGTMACTTTCATATCTTTAGAAGATATCTCATCTCCCAAATACTTTTCAGTACATATAATTGTTGAAGAGTCTCTCGACGATTTCCTACAAGTTATCTGCACTTAACTCAGTTATATAGTATWATTTCTGAGTACTTATTTTTTGTCAAGTCTATACAATTTGAAAACTAAAAATTTCGCTCCAAATATTTTGCTATGTTATATTTTTCTCTCTCTACTTGCAGTGTCAGATTCATTGCGCGTTGCCGAGCTCGCTGAACAACTTTCTGTGCAGAAATTCGCAGATACGGAAACCGACATCGATCCGCGAGATCATGCGTAAGTGATACTCAGTGCAAAGCCCAAAATATAAACAAAGTGACGGACACATACACACATATGTGAGTACTCAAAAGTAAGCATAGAATCTACTAATGGTGGAGGCACTAACAACTATAAGCGAAGTAGACTTTTACAAATTGTCAAAAGTATAATTTGTGGATAATCACAAAACTGTTATGAATTAATTTCGGTTAATATGCTATGTTAGTTTGTAAAATATTTCTATTTCTATAAATAATTTTTTAAGCAAATTATTTCTCACATATACAAACATATTTACGTTGTGTGTAAATAATGCGCGTTAGATTTTTGTATTAGCACAGTTATATTGTATAGATTTACTTTACTTACKTAGACTCAACGAATGCTTTCCGCTGCATGTACCAGATTCTTACTCCGTCCAAACAACACTATTTCTAAGTACTCTCAATAATTTATTTGTTTAAAAATAAAATTATTCAATTATATAAGTAAACCTTGCGGGTTCCTAATTTTAAAAGTAGCGTTTACAACATGGATTAAAAATAATTGAATTTGAATTTTGTGTTTCTAAGCTCACATTTAGATACTCATTTGCTATGTATAGAAATATGGAAATCACAACTTTTAGCAACATTAAGATTAAATTAATAAACAATTAAAATTTATTTAAAATTGAAATAATTAATGTTACTATTAAATTGGTATAAAATTAACAATACTAATTTTTAGATTAAATATATTTAAATACTCTATGGAAATAGAATTTTAGACCCATCACCTTTCTTACCAATAAGCTTTAGCGATAATTAGCATATATTAAAGCGCAAAATCCCAATTTCAATTTCTAAATGCCTTTATTTAATGAGATCTAATCTRTATGAAATCATAAAGTTTAATTCCAAATTAATATTTTATATCGCTGTATAAAAAATGTTATATATTTAAACTACAAGTAGTTAGGTAAAAATTTTTATTAATACTATGCCTCATAATTCAGTTTTGAGAAGTTTTAGATACGCAATTTAACAGTTCCTGTGAATATAACTAGTCCCGGAAATGAATTAGTTAATTTATTATAGTTTATTATCGCCAAAATAGTTTCAAAATCGATTTCAAGGTGTCGATTTATTTGTTTCAATGTGTAACTATTTCTCGTAGTATGGTAAGAGTGTTAATAAAAGGTTTTAATAATTTTTGTACAAATGTATGTTTCTTTGCCGGGTTCTGTAAACTGCCATGTGATGTTAAATTTTTTAGTTCTATAAATTAAAAAAAAATGGCTTAAAAAAGAAGTTTCTAATATTTATTGTTGAACAATAGTATAGTATATCGAAAAATAATTGTTTTTTTCTGCGAAATTTTTAGTCTCTATCTACTCCCCTTTAATTTTAAT